AGCTTGTCGTTTTGATGTTATGCAGCAGTGCCGCATAACGACAAGCTTCGTCCACGTGACTGACTGCAACGGCAATTGATACATGTTATGGGCCGCTCTGCTCTCTACTCGCTCATTGCACATGCCACGACCATGCATAGGTCCCGGTCAAGAATGTATTGCTGAAACTTCTGGTAAGCACCACATGATGTTCTATGAGACATTGTTGTTGATTTGTCTTGGGCGACAGGATGTTTCAATTATCGGTATTAAATCCCGCAAGCTAGCACTGCCAGTACGCATCCAGAAATCATATCACTCACAATGCCTGCCGACCGCTTGCACAGCTCTCTTCCTCGCTCTTCCAGTCCAATGAGCTCCGTGTCCTTGGGAAACCATAGGCGTGATCCTCTCCCTCAAGTCCAGCTCACAGCCAATGGTCGCCTGAAGCCGGAGAAGAACACGGATCCATGGATCGACCGCGGCCGGCACTATGCTCGTTTCATTACGATGTTTGAGCGGCCAGCCATTGTTCTCCACCATGCTCAGCGGAGACTCCTCGATTATGACGAGGACACCGTCTATACAGCCGAGTCAGTATTCTGCATCTGTTAAACCTGCCGCTGTCTGACTACTGTGACACCAGGGAGGACCGGTGGTACACCTTCTTTGAAGCAATATGCGATGCTCAACCTGGGTTCCGCGATCTCATCATGGAGGCAGAACTTCAGGAGTTCGAAAAGATTGAGAAATCGGTATGTTACGACCATCTTGTCATCCATAGCTGACTTGTATACGCATCGCAGATGCAAAAAGGACAAAATAACGCGCGAAATCAGGACACTAATACCCTCAAGTCACGCATTGTTCTGTGGCTCAACAAGACCATCACCGAATCCAACCTGAACTTGCCGCCACTCGATGGGGATAACAAGATCAGCCGCGGGTACATCCACGAGCTCACTGGTAAGCTTATACGACCTGCGTTGCTAGACTGGAGCGACACATTGTACGTCACATCTCACATCTGTCATTCCACTAACCCGACTCTATCTAGTATTAAGCAAGCACTACGAAACGGTACTGCTACTATCCAGGAGACAGTCATCGCTGACGACGGGACATCCACCACACGGCCTGTTCCTATCAACGGGTCGCACTTCCCCATGTTTCTGTGGAAGGGATCATACAACCCTGATGCGCCATGGATTGGCTTCTGTCAAGGCTCCCTTCTTGTTAAGGTATGTGCACAACTCTGCTTGTGAGCACATCGCTTATGGTTTCCCAGGCGTATCGCTGCATTTTCATCTCACCATCAGCTGCCAACAGCAAGAAGGGAGATCAGGCTCGAAGTACGCACTCCGGCATCGCAGCAATTTGTGGAGTCACTCAAGTCAATCCAGCATCCATCGCATACATTGCTACCCAGGTACGTTCGCTACTCTTAGCCCAAGACATGATGACTCATCAATTCGACCAGGTAAAATTCGCGCTGAGCTCGGAGCCCACTTTCAACAAATACGAGAAGGCCTGCGATAGCCATCGATTCTTCAACGCTCTCCTGGATTGGTTTGAGGATCCTGATTTCAAGATGTTCTCAAAGGATCTCCTTCAGTGGTGGAATCGGTGAGTGTGCCTGGTGTTGCTGGTGTCTGTCGCTGATCCCTACAATCCCTATTGCAGTCAGATCTTCCCAGCCACTGCAAATCTTCACAGCAAGAGCACGACTAATGACACGGTGCATCGTATGAAGGCCGCACTTGCCGCTACCAATACCGCTGTCCCGACAAGTGCCGTTGGTGAAGACGACGACGGTGAAATCTAATCTTTTGCCACATTGTCATTGTATTCTATTCTCCTCTGTAATACAACTCTTGTGATCTACAAATATGCCTGCCTTCAATTGCAAGATGAGATCTGTATTGCTATGTCTTGGATAACTCCCGGTAATATAAAGGTCTTGCATCACACGCACAACTGTTGCATTCCTTCCGAAGCGGTGGGCCGACTCTCAGTAGTGGTAGCAGTCATGTAATCGTTTCCCGTGATATACAAGTCTTGTGCTACTGATGCAATCCCTATGACAACTTGGTTAGGAGCAACCAGGATGCCGAAGTCGGCAACACTGCCAGCGAACAGGAAGACCCACTCGGTCTCGTATGGCATTGCAATCTAGACTACAAGACTTTTGGCTCCGCCTAACCTTGTAGTCATTGCGAGGCCTTGCATGGTCTCGCGTGAGTGCGGCCGTTTTTGCGATGTATGAATGGCGAATTACGCCCTCGTGCTCAACGTGCAAAGTTGGCTGGCACGTTTCTCACAGCAGGGCAGTACATGTGATGTAATTACCACATGACCCATCAAACATGAGCAAACATCTCAGCTGTACTTAAGGTCGTCTGGGCTTGCAACATCGTCATCCCACCACAACATATGGTCATGAACGCTCCCCTAGCAGTGAGGCTCTAATCTTCACGCTGGGGGAGGCTTTGTACTGCATAGAGGACAGTGAGGCTTTAATCTTCACACCTCAGTTGCAGTGCAACAGACCAGGGGGTGAAGGGGATGACGAAGAAAGAACCCGTTCAGGTAGTCTCGAAACCAGCCGTTCTGTGGGGACGAGAATAGATCGAGCGATGACGAAAGCGAGTGTCAGAGTAACGTCTTGTTGTGTCAACGTCAGATGGGATGGTTGGGGTCGTCTCGCGCAGAACGTCTGGTGTAGTCTCGAATCCAGCCGCCCTATCGCAAGCGCATCAAACTCAAAGCAAAGAGAAAGGTTGGAGTCAGTGCTGGATCTGACCAGCGCAGGCGAACGTCAGCATTATGCCATTGCACTCCTTGACAAGTTCTTCCGCCACGTGCCGGCAACATTCCGTGCGGGTGTGTTATACGACATAGGCTGTCAGTTGCATCGAAGCTGTTATAAGTGGGACCTCCTACCAGATTACCGCGACCGCATAGTGTTCACGATCTCGGTGTTCCACGCGTTTGGCCACCAATGGCTATGTCAAATCATATACCACCCGCGAAAGTGTGCGTGTTTTGGCCTTTCAGATGGAGAAGGATGCGAGTGCCTCTGGAGCGCACTGGACCACCTCGTGGCCGGGCTGCGTGTTAGCGGTGTAAGTGATTATCCGCCTGAACGAAGAAGAGATCACTGACGGAATTGTGAAGTACTTTCAACGGTTGTATGTGATCAACTC